GGGTTATTTAGACCTCAGATTTGCACCCAGCTCTTGAGCCGCTGCTCCCACACTATGGCACGCTGTGGAGTGCACTTTTTCAGTCAGTCCCTGCTTGTGTTCTTTTGTTGCTTCATTCTTTCTTTGCTTTGCTGGGTGTTTTGTCCAAGTCTTTGTTCAAAACGCCAAGAACCTAGACAACTTGCCGTCATGACCCTCTACTGGTGACAATGACAACTGTCTTTCCAAGATCCTGAGTCCATTATTTGCGGATTCTATCCATCTAAGAGCATTGAGTTCCTCATTTGATGTTTACAGGGATCAAGAACCACTGCCCAGGCCAGGCGCAGTGGCTCACGCCTGTAATCCCAGCACTTTGGGAGGCTGAGGCAGGAGAATCATTCGAGGTCAGGAGTTCCAGACCAACCTGACCAACAGGGTGAAACCCCATCTCTACTAAAAATACGAAAACTGGCCGGGCGCGGTGGCTCAAACCTGTAATCCCAGCACTTTGGGAGGCCGAGGCGGGTGGATCACGAGGTAAAGAGATTGAGACCATCCTGGTCAACACGGTGAAACCCCGTCTCTACTAAAAATACAAAAAATTAGCTGGGCATGGTGGCGCGTGCCTGTAATCCCAGCTACTCAGGAGGCTGAGGCAGGAGAATTGCCTGAACCCAGGAGGCAGAGGTTGCGGTGAGCCGAGATCGCGCCATTGCACTCCAGCCTGGGTAACAAGAGCGAAACTCCGTCTCAAAAAAAATAAATAAATAAAAATAAAAATACAAAAACTTAGCCGGGCGTGGTAACAGGTGCCTATAATCCCAGCTACTTGCTTAGAGAGGCTGAGGCAGGAGAATCACTTGAACCCAGGAGGTGGAGGCTGTAATGAGCACTGCAGTCTGGGCGACAGAGTGAGACTCCGTCTTAAAAAAAAAAAAAAAAAAGAATGACTGCCCTATCCTCCCAGCGACCTCCAGCAAAACAGGTTCGTCACCAATGCCCAGAACGTCACTATTCGTATAAATTCCTCGGGCAGGAATCACCTTCTACCAATTCCAGTGTCCTGCAAGTCACCTCAGTTCCTTCGGGGATGGGAGCAGGAGCACGGGCGACGAGGAGACGCTCTACCTCAGACCCTTTGGTGTCGTTTAAATTCTGACCTGTGCAAATGCATTGCTACCCAAAACATTAGTAAGCATGTAACACATGTTTAAGGCTGCTAATACATGGGTGGGCACACGTGCAGACCGAAGTGAGGGTGTCCCTGGAGAGGCCCAGGAGAGGATGGACCGAGGGGTGGGTGTAACTTGTCCAAGTTTCACTTCCCTCCAAGCGTTTCACAAGAACAGGGTCCCAAGAGGCCAGGCTGAGATTCGGGTGGCTGTGGCCTGGGCGCTGTGGACCCGTCCTCTGCAGTGGCAGCCTCGGCAGAGCACAGAGGCCAGCAGGTGCCCACCGACTAGCTGTCCACATGGAAGGGCGGGGACAGGTAGTGCTGTGGGACAGCCCACTCCTGACTGCCCGCCCCGGGCCTCATGATGGACTGTGAGCTGCAGGAGCGGCCCTGGGGCTTCTTTGTGACAGCAAAGGAAGGAAGTGAGATTGGGGACGGGGGTAGCCTTGGCTACTGCAGCCTGCTCTCCCAGTGCAGGCAGTGGTGAGGGGTCCTGCAGTCACTTTCTAGCTGCTGGGGGTGCTGCCCCCACGTACAGGGGCCTGCTGAGTACTGAACCCAGAAAGGAAGGGGCCAAGGTCACCAGGCAAGGAAGGAAGAGGGGACAGGCCTGTCTGTGCAAGCCTGGAGGGGACACATGAACCACCGCCCACAGCACGGCCGCTTGCCAGGACCACTGTGGACAGCTCACTGGCTCCCTACTGGACACTCCCTCCCACATTATAAACAAGACTGGGCCAGTCCCCCGCTAGAAGGGCCAGAGTAGAGACTGGAACGCAGGCCTGCATGGCTCAGCCTGTGTGTCTCCCACGTGACACACTCAAGCAGGGGCCAGGCCCGGATGCCAGGAGACCAGGAGAGAGAGATGCCATGGAAGGCTGCCGGCCCCAGCCTGAGCTTCGGGGGGCTCTCCAGTCTCCTCTCACCCAAACACGCTGTCTGTGGGCCAGCAGGCATGCATGTGCACAGACACACACACACACAGAGGCAGGTACACACGCATGCAGTAACATACACATACATATACACACGCACATGTGCGCACACATATGCACATGCATGCATGCATAGACATGAAAATACACGCTATACACATATGCGCATACATATACATACACATACACACATATGCGTACATATATGCAAACACACATGCACATACAGATATACACATGTACACACATACACACACACATACATGTGCACATGCACACACATATACACACAGTGGATCACCTCCGTAGACCACAGCGTGCGGGCCTGGGGTATGCGGGCTCCCTTTGTCTTCTCACTGCCCTCCCAGTTGGTGCCCAGAAGATTCTCAGAGCAGTCCCTGCCTCAATGACCCCAGGCTCAGGGACAGAGGCCAGAGGGACCCCCAGGACATGCAGGAGCCCCAGGCCATGGAGGCACTGGGGGAAGCCCAGCTGGCCCTGAAGACGGAGACCTGAGCCACGCAGCAGGGAACAGGTGGCAGGCAGAGGCTGGGGACCAGGGGCCGGCAGGCAGGGCCTGGGGAGAGCCTGAGGGAGGTAGGATGGCTCAGGCTGTCCAGCCAGATGACCTGCCAGTGAGAACCGCGGTAGCTCTCGGAAAGCACCTGCAGGCTTGGCCTGGACCACAGATGCCCCAGGAAGCACTTCAGGCTCTTTGCCGGGTCTCCTGGGCTCAGCCTCCACCCCCTGGGGCGGAAAGGCCAGTGGCCAGACCCCAGGACTGAGGCACCCAGGGTGCCTTGGTCTCGGCCCCCCTCTGTCCCCAGCCTCCCTGAGTGCACCCTCTAGGAGCTGCCACCCCAGCTCAGCCTGGCTGGCCTGGGAAGTCCCAGCCTGCAGTCCCCAGCCCCAGCCACCGCTGGGCTCAGGAGAACCCGCACACACGACGCACGCACAGCCTCCTGGCATGGAGATGCGAGGGCACATGGGCACACAGTTCCTACCAGGAAAACCGGGTCTTCCTGTCTCCGGGTGAGGGACCCTTAGGGTCTAAGCCAGGCCCCCTCCCTCGGCCACCAGCCACTCAGCCTTCGGCACCTCTTCCCAGCCTCCCTTGGGGCCTCCCAGTGACTGCACTCAACTCAGATGTTGCTCCAGCCTCAGCACCCACACCCGCCACCCCAACCCCAGGGCGCCCAGGGCCTTCTCAGCTTTTCCTTGCAACCCATGGCCTGGGAGGGCCTCTGGGAACATGGGGTCACAGGGATGCCAGGGCTCCGGCTCTATGGCTGACTTCACCCTCCCCAGCCTAGGAGGCACTGACAGCGCCCCCATTTCACAGCTGGAAAAAAACAAGGCACGGTGAGATAAAGGAATGTGGCTTCGTTCTCACAGGTGGGAAGTGGTAGAGCCAGGATGGAAGCCCCACAACCCTACAGCCCAGCCCCAGGACCCTCCAGCTCCAGCCCAGCGGCTCAGTGAGGAGCCTGGGACAGAAAGGTGGGGAAGGGGGTGGCAGGGGGTCCTAAGGGTGAACCTGACCAGGACCAGACCACGCCAACTCCTCCTCTCTCCCCTCCCATGCACCCTGCCTGGGACACTGATGGCCACCAGGTCAGGGGTGGGGTCAAGCAGGGGACAGACTGACCTGTCAGTCCTCTTGGGACCCTCCCCTGGGAAAATACATGCCCCTCTGGCCCCTGGCTGGGAGGATTCTGGGCATGAAGCAATGCCCACCTGTCCTCTGCCAGCCTCGGTCTTCCCATCAGGTACGGGAACCGCTTATCGGCACCAGCATCACACACCCGCCCCCATTACAGCCCTGGAGATGGGGAACCCCAGCCCTCCCACTTCCTCATTCCTGCCCCACCCACCCCACCCCACCAGGAAGTTCTGGATACTCCCTTTCCCTGGCCTGTGCCCGAGCACTTGCACCCAGAAGAGACAGACAAGCCCTGGGCACTTGACCCCCACGCACCAGGTCCCAGCAAGACTAAGACCCCAGTCCCCAGCCCTAGCATGGGAACTGGAGCAGGGCTGCCTGGGGAACTGGCCCCTGGTTGTCCACAGTGCCACGAGGGGACTTGGAGGGAGCGGGGAGAGACACAGCCCTGCCTGCCTGGCACCACAGCCCTTCAAGCCCCCTACCCTGCCCTCAGGTGACCCAACTTTGTTGAGCTCTTGGAACCCTGGCCTGCCTGCTGTCACGGGCCGCCCCCCTCTCGCCAGGGTCAGGGTCTGGCCCAGAGACGCTAGGGGGGCCACTGCGGAGGGCTGTGAGGGGTATCTGTCGCCACCTGTCTCAGCTGCTCCCTGGAAATCTCCCCATCTCAACTTTCAACCTCCCCAGCAAACCTGGCTGCCAATGCAAATGGATTTCCCAGCAGCTCGGCCAATGCAAGCGGATTTCCCAGCAGCTCGGCCTCAGGTGGCAGCCAAGCTTCAGTGACAGGTTGTGGGAGAGAAGTGGAGATGTAGGCGCTGCTGGAGCTGGCCTGCATTGCTGACAGCTCAGCGTCGCCCCCATACACACTCCACGGGTGACACCCCCCTGCAGTAACTTGACAACTTTCACCGCTGGGAAGTCCCTCCCACATCTAACCCGAATTCTTCAAGCTGCAGAAGCAGCCTTAGCCTCTTTTCGTCCCCAGGAAGCCCCGAGCCTGCCTTGGCTGGGACAGAGCAGTACCCAGCCCTGCTGCGCGAGGCTGACCGAGTACCCAGGCAGTGGTGGAGGCAGCCACAGGTATGCGCCTGCCCCCTCTGGACCTGCCTCAGTCTCCCCATGGGTTCCACAGGCAGGAGAGGGCCACCCACCAAATGGTGTCACCAGAGAGCCTCTGGCCCAGCCCTTTGGCACACGGGGACCCAGGCCTCCCACTCCCTGCCCACTCCTTAGGGAGGCACCATCTTAATTCACATTTATTTTTTAAATAAATTCTCTGCTCTTCACTTTCAGACTGGAGGGTGAAGCTGGGCAGTGGGGCGGGAGGCCCTCCCTGCCGGGCAGCACTGAAGGGAGCTCTGCAACACAAAACACTCCCCCCATGCCTGAAATGCCTCCTGCACGGCTGCTCCTTCTGGCCTGGCAGCTGTGCTCAGCTGCTGACGACAAAAATTCCCTAACTGTGGTGTCAGAGTTGGGAGCAGGGCCGAGAGTGACGCCCTGGGCTTCTGGCTGACCCCCATGGACCACAGCTCCCCACCCATGGCCGCCCCCCTCCAGCCAGAGAGCACTAGACACAGGTGATCAGCACCACCATGGCACTGGGCACCTTGATCTCCTCGAAGAGCACACGGCCCCGGGGGGCCTCCGCACCCGCAGCCCCGGCCGCAGCTCTCAGCAGGTCTCGGGCGTGCTGCAAGAGATGCTGGTTCCGCCGGCGGCCCAGCCGGCGCAGCGCCAGAATGGCCTGTACGTGGTCCTGCCTGCAGAGACATGCGGGCGCTCACTGAGACCCACACCCCCGCAGCACCCCCAGCCCCAGGATGGGGGAAGCCATGGGCTTGGGAGTTAGTATGAGTCACCCTGCATTCCAGGAGTCAGTCAGGGTCAGACTGACTGAGGCCAGGAATTGCTGTGCTAGGGGAGGGGCGGAGCATGGGCCTGGGGGCACAGGAGAGCGGTTTGCAGATCGGGGAAGCAGCCCACACAGAGGTGCAGAGGCACAGCGGGAGACCCGGGGACAGGTGGAGAGGGAGGGAGGGGGTGATGCAGCTGCGGGTGACAGGGCCGGCAGTGGGGAGGGGGGATTGGAGGGGAACGCCCAGGGTGCTCTCTCTGAGCCATAGCCTGAAAGGCAGCCTGGCTGGGAACTAGGAATTCTCCCCCACCCCGTGGCAGGGTGGCCCAGAGAAGGGGCTGAACCAGGACCTTTCTGTGCACTGCACATCCCGGAATCTCCAAAAGAATGCAGAGATTCAAGCTGGGATTTCCAAGCGCTTGGATGACTCACCGTCCCCCCAGCACACCCCGGGATCAAAGCCTCCTTCCTCCTGGCCTGGTCTCAGAATCCCCTTGGTTTCAGAGAGGGCTTTCTCCCCAGGGGTTCGGGGTCCGCCTCCCTCCTCAGATTCTAGGACTGGAGGCGTGCCCTCCCCCAATGGGGCTGATGAAGGATGGCTGAAAACAGATTAGGAGAAGGGGTGCTCTCTGTTCCCCTCCAGCCTTGAAGGTCTGAGGGTCCAAGGCCCACGGCCAGCCTCTGGTCTTCAGGCTCCTGGGCAGTCAGGTCCAGGCCAGGGCCCCTCCAACACCGGCCCCCTTGGCCCTGAAGCCAGCGAAGCAGGTGGGGTTCACACCTGATGTCAGGATAGCTCCGGATGAGAGTCTCCAGGTGCCGCTGGATGTCATCTTTATAAGTCTCGCCCAGGATCTCGGCCACGCACTGGATGGCTTGGTCCAGCCACGTGGCCTCGGAACCCTGTGAGACAGAGCCGCCACCTGCCCCAGGAGCTCTCTTCCCGCCCCTGCTTCAACTCCTGCCAGGGTGTGAGGTCAGCCCTCCCACAACCACTCCGACTCCACTCGGCGCTGGGACTGCCTTCCCCAAACGATGGGAGCTGTGCCTAGAAACCGAGGGCTCCTGGGCCTCAGCATTCGTCTCCCCTCCAGTCCCATTCCCACAGGCATCTTCCTGCCTCTGCTCCGATAGGAAAACCGAGGCTGGCCTGGGAGTGCTCAGGCCAGCCAAGGGGTGTGCAGGGGCTCTGTGCCTCTGCTCTAGGGCTTTGGCCTGAATGGGGGACACCTGCCACAGGCCCTGCCGGTGACCGGGCTCCTGCAAACTGTGTGCAAATGTATGCAAAGTGACATCCTCCCACCTGGTCCCACCCCAACCCCACAGTCGCCCCAGTCCATGCTCCACCTGATCCAGAGTGGGGAGAACCGCCCTGCCAAAAGCCCTCTCGGTGCTGGGGCCCTAGTCACCGCCACCCCCTCCCTGCACAGAGGCAAACGCCCAGGGGCCCCTACCAGGCCCTGGAAGGTGTCACCGATGGCCTGGGCATCCAGACTCATCTTCTGGGAGCTGCGCATGCGCTCCATGCCCCGGAACCGCTCCCGCGGCCTCAGCGCCTGCGCCAGGTACTCTCGGACCACGAACCGGTGCGCCTCCTGCAGAGTCTCCTGGACGGCCCAGAGTCGTCAGGGTCAGGGTCAGGGTCAGGGTCAGCAGCCCCAACCCTGGGCACAGCCCTGCTGGGGCCCTCACCCTTGGGGTACCTGTGCCCGTGGCCGAGCCACATGCTGGAGATGAGCAGCAAAGACCACCACCTTGTCCATGAGGGGTTGCAGCCAGTCCCCTGCCAGCCAGCCCCTGGTCCACACGGCCCTGAAGAGTGGCTGGGGACAGAGCGGGTGGGAGTCTGCAAAGCACTCCCCCCACCCAACCCCTCCCTCGGAGCCCAGTGTGCACTCCTGACGCCTTCCCTCCTGGGCTGGGGCCATCCCCTCTCCTAGCCACAGGTGATGTCAGGAGCCCTTTCCCAGGATGCCTCTCCCAGGCCCCAAGCTCCAGGGGCAGGGTTTGACTTTGCCAGTCAGATCTGCTCAGGGTGTGCCCCGGGGACGCCTTGAGGGACTGGGTGAGGGGCCTAGGCCTGGATCCGGGGACCCACTATCCCATGCTTCGGGGTGACCACCAACAGCTGGAGACTGAAGTGAGAAGGCAGGCGTCGCCCAGTCGTCGTGCTCAGCTGGGACCTCCCCTGGGTTCCCTGCCCACTACCCTTCACACACACCCACGAGCTGGTCCCTGGAATAAGTGAATGCTGTGACCTGGGCCCCCAGGCTCTAGGATAGGGGTACCTGCTGGGCATGGACGGTGTGGAGGGAGGGCCTGTCACAGTCACCTGTAAGTCACGCTGCAGGCCACGAAGCAGGTGCTTCTGGAAGCTGCAGGTGGCCGCCGCCAGGGGCTTCTCCAGCTCCTCTTGGGTTCCTGGGTACCTGGAGAGAAGACTGGTCCTGGGGAGGGGCCAGGACCAGCGATGAGGTGGGCAAGGGAGGGCAGGCTGGGGAACAAGGCTAGGCACACAGCCGTGTCCGGTGAGGCCACTCCAGCTCCACTCACTTAGACTGGAATGTGAAGGGCAGCCTGTGGGAGCAGAGTCAAGTGAGGGACAGCACGGAAGCCCAGGGAGCCAGTCACTGAGGGCAGGTCAGCAGGTGGCTGGCCAATCCCCCTCTGGTGGCTTCTGGGACGGACTTTCCCTCCCTTTTGGTGATAAACAGTGTGGCAGAGTCACACCTTGAGCCTCATAACTGCTCCCCTGAAGATGACAATATCCGTATTTCACTGTTGAGGAAACTAAGGTACAGGCTATACCCAGTTCCACAGCCAGGGACACGGTAGGGCAGGCTGGAGTTCCATCAAGGGTTAGCCAGAAGCTGCCCGACTTACCAACGGGCAGAGAACGCTCCCTGGAGCTGAAACCCAGGGGCCCAGGGCCAAGGACAGGCCTGGCACAGATTAAGGACGAGAGAGTGCTAACGAAGCAGTGCTTCATGGTCACGCTTTGGATGTAGGCAGGCCTGGTTCAAGCCCCAGCTCCACCACTCACCAGCTGCATGACTGGGCAAGTGACGCCTCCTTTCCAGGCCTGTATACCCACCTGTGTGTGCTTGGGATGAGACTCGTCAGGCAAGGAAGGCACTTGCTCAGTGCCTGGCACTCACAGGTGCTACAAAGAGCCAGTGGGAGCTGAGTCCCCTCAGGCACAGAGTTCCACACTGCCCCAGGGGGCAGCTGCTCTGATCCTATTTGACAGGTGGCAAAAGAGGCACAGAAGGAAGTGGCTTGTCCCAGAACACACAGCCAGCAGGTGGCACAGCTGTTCTTTGAAATCAGATAAATGAGAAGTGAGCACTTGGGGCCACTAACATCTACAAACTTTAAAAAAAGGATGAACCAGGCAGGGTGGCCCAGCCTGTGCCCTCTGATGCTGGCCCCCCTCAGCACTGATGCATCTGCTGAGGCCTGGCCTGGAGCTGAGGGCACAGAAGGCTGCCAGCTGCTGCCAGCCCACAGGGAGGGCCTCCACCTACTGGGGGCACAGAGACCCAGACCCCACCCCAGCACAGCCCAGGGTTCAGGCTCAGGGACGCTTCCCAGAGGAGGAGGTGTCCCAAAAAGGAAGAAATGCTGTCTGGGATGAAGGGAGGGAAAATGGAGACCGAGGCAGCGGGCAGCGAGCTGGGACCCTCGGCCTCTGCTCCGCCTTGAAGAGCCGCCCACACTCCCCCAGGGCCTCCACTTGGATGGACACACACACACACACACACGCACACACCTCTCAGCTCTGACACACACACACACCTGAGACACACCCCTCAGCTCTGACACACGCACACACACATACACCACTCAGCTCTACCCCACACACATGCACACATACACACACACCTGAGACACACGCCCCTCAGCTCTGACACACACACCACTCAGCTCTCACACACACATACACACCGGAGACACATGGCCCTCAGGTCTGACACACACACACACACACACACACCCCTCAGCTCCACCCCACACACATGCACACATACACACACACCTGAGACACATGCCCCTCAGCTCTGACACACACACCACTCAGCTCTCACACACACATACACACCGGAGACACATGGCCCTCAGGTCTGACACACACACACACACCACTCAGCTCCACCCCACACACATGCACACATACACACACACCTGAGACACACGCCCCTCAGCTCTGACATACACACCACTCAGCTCTCACACACACATACACACCGGAGACACATGGCCCTCAGGTCTGACACACACACACACAGACACACACACACCACTCAGCTCCACCCCACACACATGCACACATACACACACACCTGAGACACACGCCCCTCAGGTCTGACACACACACACACACACACCACTCAGCTCCACCCCACACACATGCACACATACACACACACCTGAGACACACGCCCCTCAGCTCTGACACACACACACATACACCACTCAGCTCCACCCCACACACATGCACACATACACACACACCTGAGACACACGCCCCTCAGCTCTGACACACACACCACTCAGCTCTCACACACACATACACACCGGAGACACACGCCCCTCAGCTCTGACACACCACTCAGCTCTGACACACACATACACACCGGAGACACATGGCCCTCAGGTCTGACACACACACCACTCAGCTCTCACACACACATACACACCCGAGACACATGGCCCTCAGGTCTGACACACACACACACACACACACCACTCAGCTCCACCCCACACACATGCACACATACACACACACCTGAGACACACGCCCCTCAGCTCTGACACACACACACCCCAGAGACACACGCCCCTCAGCTCTGACACACACATACACACCAGAGACACATGGCCCTCAGGTCTGACACACACACACACACACCACTCAGCTCCACCCCACACACATGCACACACACACTTTTTAGCTCCGCCACACATACATGTACACCTCAGTTCTACACACGCACACACACACAGGCACACCCTCAGCTCCACTACACATGCTACACACACCCCTCAACTCTGCTACACACACATGCACACACCCGTCCACACCCCTCAGATCCACCGACACACGGACACACACCAACTCCTCAGCTCTGCCCCCTCCACGCGCGCGCACTCCCCTCCATCCAGGTTCCCGGCGCTCGCGCGCCCCCTGCCGGCCGCACCGCGCCTGCGCAGAAGCGGCCGAGCCCTACCTGAGCTCCTCGCAGGCGTTGATGTAGGCGCCCAGGTGCGGGTCGCTCACCGCCTCCGACGCCAGAAAAGCCTTTTCAAACCTGGGGCAGGATACACAGAGCCCTTGGGGACCCTTCCTGGCTGCGCGATGACCCTGGGTCCACCCTCCCATCAGGTCCCCGCGCAGACCCCTCCCTCCCACCTGCAGAGCACACCTGGCCGCGTCGCTCCCCTACCGAGGATGAGTCCGCACCTGGGCACGAAGAGGCCGAGCGCCCGCGTGCAGATTCGCAAGGTGGTGGCCTCCAGCTCCGCGGAGATGGCGCCGGCCGCCTTCACGTGCTCGGCCACGAGCTGCGAGCGAAGTCCCGCACTAAGTGCGCGTCCCAGCCGCGGACTCCAGGCCGCAGTTCACCCTGTAGCTCCGCCACACCTTCAGCCAGCCCGGCTGTGTCGCTCAGTCGGAAAGCCGCGCAACCCGAGAGTCAACTCCCGCAAACCCCCGTCCAGCTGCCTCCCAGTCCCTAGACGTGCCCAGGGTCCCGATTTCCCCCCACGCGGGGCGTCAGGCTCCCATCTAACAGAAGGGTTGCTACAGGACTGGGTAGGATCGTTCTGGGTGTCCCCATCGTGTGCGTGAGGCTTGAACACGCGCCCCTTCCCAGCCCCTGCTCTGGGCCGCACCATGTGGACGTCCGTGGACAGCGGCGCCCGGTAGAGGCCCTGCAGCACCTCCGGGCCCTCGGCCGCCGCCCAGCGACTCTGCTCCAGCTGCAATATACGGTCGAAGCAGCTAGCGATCTTGGCCTGGGGGGAGAAGGGACCACCGCGGTGAGACCCTCCCGGACCCCGTCCCGCGCCGTCCGGGATGAGGGCCGCCCTGTATTGTCACAAGTCCGCGCTGGGGGCCGCAGGGTGAACCAGCGCCAGCTCTGGCAGCCCTGCGCCTGGGCGCCACACCTCCCGCCAGAACCTGCCCCCTCCAGCCTGGCCCGTCGGGACTGACCTCGAGGAAGCTAGTGTAGTCACTTTCCAGTCGGGCCCACACGTCCGGCGCCAGGAGCGGGGGCAGTGGCTCGGTGGGCAGCGCCAGGCCAGGGGTGCCCAGAAAGTCAGAACTGGAAGTCAGGGCAGGGGGCTGAGGGCGGGCGGCTCTGATGCTGCAGCCGCTGCCCCTCCTCTGGCCAGGCTCACAGTTTAATCCCTGAACCTGGGCATCTGTTCTCACACACGCGCACACACACACGGTGAGCACACGCACACACTGCGGGCACACACACACTGTGCACACACCCTGTGAGCGCACACCCCCTCCCCCTGGAAGCCTCTGACAGCTGTTCCTGCCCTCCTGCAGGACGCTGAAGGACCGTCACCCAGATGGCATTCCGCCCTCTCCTCAGACACAGCTCAGGGAACTGCCACCCTCAACCCACAGCAGGGGTGCCCACAGCCGGGAGGATGCGGGTCTGAGGCCACGCAACGTAAGGACCAATGTAAGGAGTGCGGGGCTTCAGGCAACCTCCCCACACCCCCCACCCCACACCCCATCCCCCACCCCCCACACCCCTCACCCCGCACCCCGCACCCCCCACCCCACACCGTGGGCGCTCCTGCTGCTGGGGCTGGGATCCGCTCCTTGGGGAAAGCAAGTTACCCTCATCCCACGCGCAGAGAGGGATGTGGCCATTCCCCGCGGGATGCACCCTGAACCCAGATGCCTGTCCAAAGGGAAAGCGCCGGTGAGCCCACGCCAAGCGCTGTGAGCCCGCAGGGGTTGAGTCTGCCCTAGAGAGGTGCCTGCCTTCCTTCCTTCCTTTCTTTCTTTCTTTCTTCCTTTCTTCTCTCTCTTTCTTTCTTTTTCTTTTTTTTTTTTTTTTTTGGAGTCTTGCTCTGTTGCCCAGGCTGGAGTGCAATGGCGAGATCTCAGCTTCCGGGTTCAATCAATTCTCCTGGCTCGCCCTCCCGAGTAGCTGGGATTACAGGCGCCCGCCACCACGCTCAGCTGATTTTTGTATTTTTATAGAAATGGGGTTTCACCATATTGGCCAGGCTGGTTTCAAACTTCTGACCTCTGGTGATCTGCCTGCCTCAGCCTCTCAAAGTGCTGGGATTATAGGTGTAAGCCACCGCGCCTGGCCAAGAGGTGCCCTTTTCCGATGCGCCCAAAGGCACCTGGTGAACCAGCACAGGCCTTGCTCCCGTGGGAACCTCCTCGCAGAAACTTTCCAAATTCTGGAACTGTGTATGGGTGACCCCTAGAAAACCTGGGGCAGCAGCACCCCACGGACTAACCCGGGAGGAAAGCATGTCGAAATCCTCAGCTCTCAGTCCTACCCCAGGGAGAGAACAGAGAGGAAAGGCTACGTCCTCCTCAAAGTGGGCGCCCCAAGGCCTGCGGGGGAAGCGGTCGTCCTCGCCTCTTGGTGCCCTGGCCGAGCCTCACCTGCCATACACGTTGGCCGCCCAATCCAGAAGGAGATAGAGCTGCTCGCAGCCGCGGGCATCGCGCGCGAGCTCCTGGAGGCGCTGGGCCACGGCGCCGTGGAAGGCACGCAGGTAGACCTCCCAGGCCGGGAAGCCAGCCGCCGAGTACGCGGGCTGCACCTCCTGCCACACCTTCTGCAGGTCGCGGCGAACCACGCCACCCAGATCGACCAGAAGCTGGGCCAGGCCCGACGCGCCCTCGGCCTCCCTGGTGCCCGACTGCCGCACGCGCTCCTGAGCGCTCCGCCTCACCGCTTCCTCCCAGTGCTGGCGCCAGCGGCGCGGCGTGCGCAGGAAGTCGCCGTCGTCTGGGGGCGCGGGGTGGGCCTCCTCCTCCGCGCGCACCACGTGGGCCAGCTCGGCCAGCGCGGCGGCGTCCACGCCGTCGGCGCCCAGCGTCTCGCGCACGATGGCCCCGATCTCAGCTGCCAGCCCGTCGTAATGCAGGCACACGTCCATGGCGCGCCGCGCGAAGGCCGTGGGGTCCTGCTCAAAGGTGCGCGAGGCTTTCTCGGCCACCAGCCGAGTCTCCAAGTGCAGAAGCTGTTCCAAGGCCGCCAGCAGTTGACGTTCAGTAATGAGGTCTGCCACGGATTTGCCTTCTGCACTGGCAGGCAAGAAGAGGGGCGGTGAGAGGGGCCGCCGCAGCCCCCGACCTGGACCAAGACCTGCAGGGCATGGCTCCGTCTTTCGGGGCTGGACTGCCCGGCCTCTGCGCGATGCCCCAGCTCCGCTCCAGGGCACCTGCCAGGAGCCCTCCCTTAGAGCCACCTTTGAAAAGGCAGAACCTGGGACTCCAAGCCTGGCTGAACGGAGCCATTTATCAGCCCTACCTTCCGCCTGGCTCCCACGCCCGGCTGAGCCGGACTTGATAGCTTCATGCACAGCCTTGATTGCAGGTCTAATAAGGTCAGAGCTCAGGCAGGGCGTGTCCTGCCCATGTGCACTTTTACATTCCTGCTACTCCCGGCTCTCTTCCAGCCTCCACCCCACAGGAGCCCTCCACCTCTATGGTGGCCCCTCTTCCCACCCCAGTGTGTCCTCCTCTGGACAATCCCTGACCTTCCTCCTGGCACCTCTGCCAGCCTTGCACCCTCTGCAACCCTGTGATCAGCTGTGCACATGGCCCTAGTTTGACCCAGAGCCGGCGGTGAAAGACCATGGAGAGGCTGGGGATCTCGGCCGTGCAGACCTGGGTTCAAGTCCCATTCTCCATGCTGTGAGAATTGAGGCAAGTCACCGCACCTCTCTGAGCCTCGCTTTTCCCATCTGCCCAATGGTGGGGGCTCCCATTGCAGGGGTGCTGTAAAAATGTCAAGTGCACTTGTCCAGCTGGGCATGGTAGCTCATGCCTGCAAGCCTGGCACCTTAGGAGGCCAAAGCAGGAGGACTGGGTGAGCTCAGGAGTTAGAGGCCAGCCTGGGCAACACAGCAAGAACGCTATCTCTACAAAAATAATACAAATACATTAAAAAAATTAGCCGGGTGCAGTGGCTCATGCCTGTAGTCCCAACTACTTGAGAGGCTGAGGCAGGAGGATTCCTTGAGCCCAGGAGGCCAAGGTCGCAGTGAGCTGTGATTGCACCACTGCACTCCAGCCTGGGTGACAGAGTGAAACCCTGTCTCAAATAAATAAATAAATAAGTGCCTGTGTCTGGGCCAGGGTTTGGGGCGCTAGGGAGGAGAGCCTTTCCAGAAGCCTCAGCTCAGCGGCCCCGACCTCTGGCCAGTTTCCTTACATGCTTAGTGTTTCTGAGGCCCTTCCTTACCTGTCTCGGGTTTCAGTTCCTCAGACGCTGCCCCAGGAGATGCCTGCTGGCTGACAGCATTCATGACCTCCGAGGGGACCTCAGGAGTGGCCCGGGAATGGCCGGCAGCTGGGCCCTCGTCCAGGGCTCGCCGGAGGGACCGGAACAGGGAGCAGGAGCTTTGCCTTAGCAGACCCGCATTCTCCTTGGAGACCTGGGTGGAAGCCCGCTGGCTGGCCCAGGAGAACGCCTGCTTCAGGGTGCCCAGGCCCAGCCTTGTGCCATCCACGCGGTGGCCACTGGGCTCTTTCCTGCTGCCTGTTTGCCGGGAGCTGTGAGCTGGAGTCTGCGGCTCCTCAGCCTCCTTGGGGCTCTGCAGTTCCGGCCCAGGAGTCTCTGTCCGCGGTGAGGACATCTTGGCAGCAGGAGAGCTGGGGGCAAGAAGGAGGCTCAGCAGGCCTGGAGGCGCAGCTCAGGAGCAGCCGTAGGGAACTGGGAACTGTGTGCAGCCCTCAAGCCCTGGCCACACCCAGGGGCTTGGTCAGGGGAGGCTCCCCAGAGGAGGCAGTCCTCAGGCCACCAGAAGGAAGCGTCACCGGCATCACCAGGCCACTCTCTCAGCGATAGCCCTCAGTGTGCCAGGCCACAGCTGGGCATGGAGATACACACAGCTGCTGCCATCAGGAGCCTTCCCTGAGACCGTCCCCAAAAAGCGTCTCCCCAGGTGCACAGGGCCAGGCGGGACTCTCCCGTTAGAATTGGAGGAGGGAGTCGATGGGGCACAGTCTAGGCCACAGCTCACAGCACCGAGGGCAGGACCAGCAGCCACGTCTAGGCCTTCCCGGATCCCTGACCCCCTCCCTCAACCGCCACCAGCCCCTTCACTGCCCTCCAGGTCATCATCAGCCCAAAAGACCTTTATTACTTTGGCTCAAAGGGGAGGGCAGGGATCCCCATGGGAGCCTACTCCCTGCCCCGGGTGTCACAGAGCCTGCAGAGCTGGTGTGGGGCCTGAGGGCACTGGCCGAGGCCACCCTGAGGCTTATCATGGCCGTGCAGCTGCAGGGGCAGCAGCAGGAGGAGCTTCGGGTCTATATTTAACTGGGGACTGAGGGGGTTCTCAACGCTGTTTCCCACACATTGCCTCTCCCCCTCCCCCCCCCCCACCGCAGTGTGCTCTGGCTCCTCCCAGACACAGGGAATGGGGGGATCCCAGGGGCATGGGGGTGCTGAGCCTCGACTGCTCCTGCTCCCCCACGGCCTCAGCACCTGGCCTGCCAGGCTCCGCCCACACCCCCTTCCAGCCTTGGGAGCTGTGCTTGCTTTCCTGGCTTTAGGCTGGGAGAGAGGAGGGGCCTCCCGCCCACCCCACTGTGGAAGCTGGGCCATGGGCAGGCGAGGGCATTAGGCCAGCAAAGTCTCACTTTCCCCTGGGAGAAACTGGGGCCAAAGAAGGGCTGGACCTGCCCCTAGCCCAGCCCCAGAGCCCCCCAACCCAGGTGCCAGGACCAAAGCCCCAACCAGACCCAGCACCCAACGAACCGCTGGGTGACATCGGACAGGAAGTGTGCCTTCCCAGGCCCCAGTTTGCCAGGGTGGAAGGACACCAAGGTGGGCAGGACCCAGACCCCACTCATCCTCACCCTCACCCTCCAGCAAGGTGCCTACCTACCTTCCTTGAGGTCCCACAGAGGCCCAAGGTGGCAGTGACAGCCCGGTGGTTGACAGACTTTAACAGCCCTGCCCTGGCCACAGGTCAGCGACTCCCCCCAGTGCCAGGGTTCAGAGACCCTGCCTGATTCAGACGTGACCCACACACTTCGGGGTGCCGTCTGTCCCAGCCTCCACTCTCCCCTCTCTCCCTGGTGCCCTCCATGCTTGGCATGGGGGCTGGTGCCCAGCAGGGCAGGGTTTCATGAAAAGAACCATTCAGCACACATCTCATTCTCCGCTGTCAAGGGGGTGGGGTCCGGGGTGTGGGGCAAGGGGGAACCAGGCTCTGCCTTCCTGTTTGGGACAGCTCACAGTTAGTAAGCACCTACTGTGTGCCCAGCTTGAGGCCTGACATAGATAAGCTTCTGTGACAACAAAGATGGGCAGTGTCATTTGCCCATTTCACAGATGAGGAACCTGAAGCTCACACTACAGCTCAGAGCCGGGAGCAGAGGTGGGACCGGTCATGTCTCCACCCCCAGGGAGTCAGAGCTGCCACCCAGAAGCCCCTCCTCCCAGCTGAGACCCCCAGGGTGTCAGCAGGTCCCACAGTGGGGTCGGATGTGGAGGTCCTCTCCCAGGAGGCCTTGAGGAAGGCCAGGTAAGGAGGGGCAGCTATACTGGTGAATCTCTTAGGAGTTTACACAGGTAGAGGCTTGAGAGCCGCTCAGCCTGTCCCAAAACAGAGCTGCACTGGAGGGCCATCAAGGTCCCCAGATAGCGCCTCAGCCTCCAGCATGCCACCTTCCACCCTGCAGCTCCTGACAGCGTCCCACGCCATTCTCGACCTTCCCAAAGCAGAAGTCCAGCCAGGTCACCCCCATGCTTTAAACCCCTCCGTGGTTCCCACCTGCCCAAGCCCCACAGCGGGCATCCATCTTGGAGCCAGCTTCCTCCACCTCCACCTCCCGCTGACCATGCCTCAGCAACTTCCCCCGGGGTTCACCGACGACCCGCACCCCACCTAGACTCCTCTCTGTCCTCCCAGCTGCACGCCCAGCCTCAGGCTTCCCCTCCAGCTGCTCCCCATACTGGCCTTCCCCTGTTTGTTCTTCACATCTGACCTGGGTTTCAGGACGTTGGGTACAGATGCCTGGCACCACCCACTTCACCATCTGTCTGCTCAGTGGGCACTCGACACTGTCCCTGTGGTGACATAGCCCCTGCCCTGGCAGCCTCTATCTATCTACCCCTATCACCGCAGAGCACAGCCTAGAAAGGGGGACATGGATGTCAGGGTCCCCCCGCCTCCCTGGGCTGGCGCCTGCAGGCTGAGACCTGTAGGCCCCTCTCCACTCCCCGCTCCACCTCCCAAGGCTTGGCCTGTCCCTGTCCCTATGCCTGCCTCTCCACAACCCATGGACTCTCTCTCTGGGTCTCTCTGTCCCAGTGCCCAGAAGGCCCAGGGGGCCCGGCTCCTGTGCTGCTGCTCCCTGACTGCAAGGCCCTGGAGACCGAGCCCCGGCCTGAGCCCCAGGTCCTACTCTCCCCAAGTCAGGCTAACACACCCTTTGTGGGCCCAGCAGCAGGGGCAGGAAGCCAGCCAGAGACATAGTCACTGAGAGCTGCCACCCTGGGCCACCCTAGCCGCGACCGAGAAGTCAAGTCTGGACTTCCCACCCCACCTGCCCCAGCCTCGGCTTCTCCCCCCTTTCCCCTAGACCTTCTCTCCTGCAGCTGCTCCTCGAACTCCCGGCCATGCCTCAGAGCTCACCACTCCCCAGCCTCCCACCTACACTGGGACTGGCCATCACTTCACTCCTCAATGCTCAAAAGGAGCCCCTGAGGTGACTGCCTATACTGCACCATGGGCCCAAGCCCACCTGGTCCCCTCTCACGTCCCCACCTGTTGCCACCTCCCCTGATCACAGCCTCCGAGCTGCTCGCCTTCCCAGGCGCCCTCAATGCCACCTCCTGGGATCAGTCATAAGAATCTTGCCAAAATGTAAACCTCCTTTGTTTATTGTTTTTAAGAGACAAGGTCTCGCTGTGTCACTTCGCCCACTGCTGGAGTGCAGGGGTGCGATCACAGCTCACCGCAGCCTCGAACTCCTGGACTCAAGCAGTGCTTCCACCTCAGGCTCCCAGGTAGCTGGGACTACAGGTGCACAAATCCATGCATGGCTAATGTTTTTATTTTTTTGTAGAAACAGGGTCTCACTATGTTGCCCAGGCTGCTCTCAAACTCCTAGCCTCAAGTGATCCTCCTGCCTGAGCCTCCCAAAGTGCTGGGATTACAGGACTGAGCCACCGTGCCTGGCCCTATAAACCGCCTTTGAAAACTTTCCTTGCAAGCTTTTCTTTTCCTTCCAGCCCCTCAAAATAAGGAAAATGACGAGGAGGTGCGTTCTCACCACTCCTGCTCCTCAGCATTTGCCGGGAAGAACTAGTTAAGGCAATAAGGAAAGAAAAATAAACACTGGGAAGGAGCAGATTAAACTGTCATTATTCAGAGGTGACATGATTACTGACTTAGAAAATCTGAGATTAAAAGTTATGGGAGCTCATAGAAAGGCCTAGTGAGTTGTGTGCGTTGATGATGTGAATAGAGCCCACACCTTTCCACACCCTAGCACGGCCTGTGAGAGCCGCTTACAACACTTCACTTCACGGAGCAACGGAGCCTAAGCCCCCGAGCCGCTGTCGCCCTCGGAAGAAGCACAGCGCCCTCCTTAGCTTGGCATTCAAGGCCTATTCTAATAACCCGTCTGGCTCCAGTCCCGACTCACTCCTCCACTCTGATCACTCCGAAGTACCCACCTCTCCTCCACCCCTTTGCACTGTCCTTTCTGCCTAAATGTCAGCTTACGGAAAGCTCCGCAGAAATGGCTCCTCCCCTGATAAGCCTTCCCTGACCAGCTGAGCCCCTACCATAGTCGGCCCCTCCTGCTCCGGGCCTGGGCACACCTGCCTTGACTTGAGTTACCAAGCCTGGAGGCCAGGAGGGCCCCAGGCAGGGGGTGGGCCTGACTCAGCCAGTCTCAGGGGAAACCAGGAAAGCAAACCTGGCCCCTGCACACGAGTGCTCCGCTTTCACACAGCTGAGTGTGGGCCTGAGAGTGTCTCCCGTGTGTGTGACTGCCCCAGAGTGTGCCCTAGCGGGGCTGGGTCTGCGCCTGCCTGTCTGTGCTTCCCGCCTGGGTGTGTCCGCCTGTGTCGGGGGTGTGTGTGTGTCACCTGTGTGTCGGGTGTGAGTGTGTGTGTGTGTGTCCTCTGTGATTTGTGCTGCCGCTCTGGCCTGGGCAGCCTGGGCTCAGAGTGAGGCCCTTGCCTGGAAGGCCACATGCAGAGCCAGAATGGTCCTCAGGCCTGAGAGTCGCCCCGCCCGCCCACAGCACTCCATGCCCTCCTGCTCCACCTTCCCGGAACATACCTGCTGAGCACGCAGCCTCGGCCCAGGAAGAATGCAGCCACCTGAGAAGGTGGCCCGTGGGGCCTTCAGAGTCGGGCCCTGGCCATGGGGCCTCCGGAGCAGCTGGACTGAGTGACTAACAGCTGGGACTTCCCAGCCATGGTCAGCGCCTGCCAGGCCCACCCGGCCCCACCCACAGCCTGCCCTCCACAGACACCCCTACTTTCACTTTCAGGGAAGTTCCCACTTCCCTTTCACTCCATCTTTCCACTCCAGGTAACACAGGGCTCAGGCCAAGGGTCAGAGGACAAGGGAGGGGAGGGCTGCGGAGGACGCACTCAGGGGCTCAAGCGGCAGGGGGTGGACGCCACCTGGGACCTCAAAACACCGCCAGCCCCTCCTTTGCTCAGAGGCCAGGAGAAGCAGGCACTGGCCTGGGGGGACGCTCGGCCCACAGTGCCTGAGCCCAGAAGGACCCCCCACCTCCAGGGCAGAGGCTCTAGCAGCAGGCCAGCCCACTGAGTTCATCCTGCACCCCCATCAGGGAAGCTCATGTTGAGAGCCACGCGCCGTTCCCTGGGGCTTCAGGAGCTGGAGTAATGGACAGAGCCCTGGGGGACAGACAGGGCACACTCAGGAGTGAGGAGGGACAGCATCCTGGGCAGGGGCAAAGGTGTGGAGGCGGGGCCCACTCCCCACACAGGAGTCCGGCGTGCAAGCCGCTGTGGGGGGGACCACTGACACTTCCCAGAAGAGGCAGCCTCACCCCTGCACAGGGGGATTCCGCAGCTGGCGTCTTAGGAAAGAGCTCAGGGAAAATCCAAGGAGAACAGATCCGGACCTGTCCCAACCTGGGCCGGGGCCACCAGGGTGTGTGACAGGGCCGCTGCAGGGCGCTAAGGTGGGCAGAAAAAGTCTCCTGCACCAGCAGCGTCCAGCTGAGGGCAGGGGTGGCCCCGTGCTCTAGCGTCCTAGGGCTGAGGGCAGAGACGGCCCCGTGCACCCAGCGTCCTAGGGCTCAGGGCAGGGGCGGCCCCATGCACCCAGCATCCTAGGGCTCAGGGCAGGGATGGCGCAGTGCACCCAGCATCCTAGGGCTGCCACAGCAGGACCAGGGACTGAGCCTCAGTGACACATTTATTCTCCCCCAGTTCTGGAAGCCCCGGTTCTGCAGCAAGGCTTCTGCGGGCTGGCTTCTCCCGGGGCTCTCTTCTGGGCTGTAGATGAAGCCCTCTTCTTCCCAGTCTTCACAGGGTCTTCCCTCTTGGTGTCTGTGTCCATATTTCCTCTTCATATGGGTAAGGCTCCACCCTAGTGACTTAATTTCAACTTGTTACCTTTTTAAAGTAATAAGCATTTTTATAAGGAATTTTCCAAATAAGGTCACATTCTCAGGTTGGGACTTGAACATATAAAAATTTTTTTTTTTTGAGACAGAATCTGTCACCCAGGCTGAAGTGCGGTGGTGCAATCTTGGCTCACTGCAACCTCCGCCTCCTGGGTTCAAGTCATTCTCCTGCCTCAGGCTCCCAAGTAGCTGGGACTCTACAGGCACCCGTGACCATGCCCGGCTAATTTTTTTTTTTTTTTTTTTTTTTTAGACCTAGTCACTCTGTCACCAGGGCTGGAGTGCAGTGGCATGATCTCAGCTCACTGCAACCTCCGCCTCCCAGGTTCAAGCCATTCTCCTGCGTCAGCCTCCCAAGTAGCTGGGATTACAGGCGTCCACCACTAATCCCAGCTAGTTTTTGTATTTTTAGTAGAGACATGCTTCACCATGTTGGTCAGGCTGGTCTCAAACTCCCGACCTCAGGTAATCCGCCCACCTCAGCCTCCCAAAGTGCTTGGATTACAGGGGCAAGCCACCGTGCCCGGCCCGACATATGAATTTTGTGGGGGAAGAACAGCCCATAACAGACTGGAAGGTGCCTGAGATGCTGCAGCAGCATCTGCAGAGGGCTCAAATTAGACTCAAAGATGCCAGCACCTCCTCCAGGAAGCCCTCCAATTAACCACGTGAGTCACTACCCCCTGAGCCCTGGGTTCCCTCTGTGAAGTGGGGTGCTAATAGTCCCAGTTCAAGCCCGAGAGACGCCCAGCAGCCCGTAGGCACTCCCAACCCAGTCCCACCTGCTGGCTTGAGTCTCACCCCACCTGTCTCCAACAGGCAGAGATGAGGGGTGACAGGGAATACTCGTAACTGAACAGAGACAGCTGGGCCAAGGTGGACGGCTGGGGGGCTCAGTGGCCTGCTCACCACCACACAGCTGGCCAGAGAGGCCAGGACTGCGCCTGAGGCCTCTGGCTCTATGGACTGGGTCTTCCCATGGAGCCAGGCCCTGGGGGACTGAAGACTTCCCGGTCTGATTCTCCCACCCTCCAGCTCACAGGGCATGTTGGGGTTCCAGGACCTCCAATTACCAGTCACTTCAATACATAAGGGCTTGAAAATCTGGTGGGGCCAGGGCCTGGGGGCTGCTCCTGGACATCCCCTCAACCTCCATCTGCACCCCACGGCCACCTGAGCCTGTGCCCACTTTTCAGCTAAGGTTGCAATGTTTTTTTCATTCTATGTCCATGTTTTTCCCCAAATTTCTCAGTAAAATCCCTTTGGAAAAGCCCCAGCCTTGTCTCAGAGAAGCCTGGGGCACAGGGTTGACGCAGGGTCAGGAGAAGGCAGGGCGGGGGCCATTAGGAGCGGGAGGCCTAGCCAGGGACACCGAGCAGAGGTCAAGCCCAGCTCCCCACGATCTTGGAGGGTGCTTCGATCTCTGAGCCTCAGTTTACTCCTCCAGAAAATGGGATTGTCGTCGGGATCAAGTGGGTTCGCCTTGGCTGAGGACCTGGCTCCCAGGTAGGGAAGGCCAGGGAACAAGCCCCCCACCACCAGAAGCCTGCATGACCTGGGGGTCGCTGGGAGGCCAGGCTGTCCCACCCCGGATGCAGAGGCCAGAGGCGGCGGCTTCCACCCTCACTGCTGCCGGGCCCAGCGCGAAGCGCAGCGTGAGAGCCAGAGGCCCGGGCTCCCTCCCTGCCTTGACGAGGCTGCCGGCCGCGCACAGCAGGCCACTCTGCCCCAATCCCGTATTGCAGGGTTGAGGTGGGAGCCGGGCGGTGGCCCCAGCCCCCCGCCGGGCGTCCCCAGGTCGCCGGGTGCCGGGGGCGTGGCGTGGGCGGGGCCTCGCTGACACCGCCCTGCCGTCTCCGCCCACGGGCTCTGGGCGTGGCTGGGCGGTCCCGGCACCTGCTGGCGGTGGAGGGCGGGCGGGTGGAGCAGCGCCCCGCGGACGGGCCTCCCCAACCCCGGCTCCAGGGTACGCAGGGTCCTGGGACCTGCGGTGGGGTTCGCCTCCGCCCGAAGGCAGCCCTGCTGGACGGGGCGTGGTGGACTCCTCCCGAGCTCGGCCGCTCCGCGGTGTGGGTCCGGGGCAGCCGGGTTGAGACGGGTGTCAAAATTCTCGCCCAGGAGCGGAGTGGTGGGAATCAAATCTCAGTAAATGGCCTCGTCGCCCACCCACGTGCCGGCCTCCTGCACCCCACACCCCGCGTGTCCGCAACGCTTCCTGCGAAATGTCTGTTCCCATTCACAGAACTACCCCATGTCCCCGATCCTGGTGAAGCCTCTCCAGGACCCGCAGGAAGCACTGGAGGAGGACGGAGAGGACCTTGAAGGCCCCACCCCTCGCCTGAGCTACAGTCCAGGGGAGGGCCCACGGGGTCCTGAGGTTTCAAACTAAAGCAGCCGCCAGGCGAGCTTCCGCACCTGCCTCCCACCTCTCCTGCACTGCGGGGGAGGGCTATTTTTAGAAGGAAGGCAGTACGAGAAAGTGCATCTTTGTCCTGGAGGCTGGCGAGGCAGCAGGAAAGCACAGAGGGGCAGTGCCTCCTGCCTCCCTCGCTCACCCGTCGCCTGCCCGGACCGTTGACTTGGCGAAGTTGACATTTATGGTGTCCCATTGCCTGGCCCTAAGCTTCCTCGGCCTGGCTCAGGCTGGCCAAAGGCAGGGGACGAGGTTGGGGGACACACCCTGGGAGTGGGTCCTGGGCCACGCTCAAGGCTCTGCCCCCCCATGCCAGCCGCAACCAGGCAGCAGGGCTCCCCTTCTGCAGTAGAATGGAGCCCAGAGATAATGTTGATGGACCCCCACATAGGGCAGGAAGAGATGCCTGCTTACCCAACTTCCCACGTGGGCTCTGTGGCAGCCTGGTGGCTTCCTGACCTCAGGGATTCCCCTCGAAGCCTCTCGCCTCGGGCGCCTCGCTTTGTACCTCAGTTCCTACACGTGTAAAATGGGACCTTCACAAGGATTTAATGAGATCCAACCTGGAATGGGGCAGCCCACGCCAGGCACCATCGCTGTGCCCTCCTGCACCCAGGGGAAGCAGGCAGCAGAGCCTTCAGGGTCCTGCCCTGGCCCCAAGGCAGCCCCACAGAGGGTTGGGAGGCCACCTGGAGGAGACTGGTTCTGTCTTGGGCAGCCTTGGCCAAAGCAGAGAGAGGGTCCCTGGGCAGAGGCACCAGCCACAGCACCAGCCCAGCCCTGCTCAGCCTGCCCCAGTGCCACACCTGAGTGGTCACGCACTAGGCACTCTGGACTGGTCAGCCTGGGCTGGGAGCTGAGGCCCTGACCTAGAAGGCCACGGGCAGAACCCAAACTGTTCTCCGGCCCCTGCATCCCCACCACATGTGCCCACTGGCCATCAGGAAGTGCCTTTATTTCTGCGTCAAACCACGAAACAAAGCAGGGTGTGATCCAAACCTGGACCACAGGCAGAAGAGGACAGGGCTGCGGTCCTGGCAGAACAGGTGAGACAGGAAGCAGCCTCTGAGCTCTGCCTGCGGGGTGTTGGGGCAGGCCCAGCCCTCCTGTGCATCAGCCCGGCCACCCTGCTGCAGAGGTCCTCAGCAGTCAGACAGCAGACCCTGGACACGTCCTTGTCCTATCCCTTGGCCGGGGCTGCCTGGTCCTCGGAGCAGACATGCTCCCTGCCAGCATCATCTGCAGGTCTCCCTGGTTCTCCGGGGGGACTCTGGGAGTGGGCTGCAGAAACATAAAGGCGGCCGTGTTGGTGGGGGGACTGCAGCCCAAGAGGATCCCAGTGGTCCGAGATGAACCTTTGGCAGGCAGCTGGGCTGAGGCAGGCCAGGAGGTCCCCTTGGGTGATGAGAAGGGGAGGAGTGCTCGGCCAGGGAGGCAGAATGGGGCTGGGCTCTTCCAGCAGGAACAGCTCCCAAATCCACCAGAGGAAGGGGTGGCAGAGGGAAGGGAGGTCCAGGGCAGACTCAAGGGCATCCCCAGAGCCCAAGTCCCAGGACCGACCCAAGGGGTGGTCTCTGATGCTGTCCTGGGGCCTGGGCAGAAACTGACAAGAGGTTGAGGGGGCTTTGGGCAGACGTGGGTGTTATGGGTCCAGACAGACCCCTTTGGGCAGTCGTGGGGGTTATGGGTCCGGACAGACCCCTTCTGAAGGGGGTTTCCTGGCCAGTATCATCTGAGGTCTGGGAATGGGGAGAGGTCAGGCAGGGTGCTGAGCAGCTCCAGCGACGGCCAAATTCACTTCCTACTCAGGGAACAGACTCCCAGGGGTCTCCAGGGGATAAGACCTCCCAGGGCACAACTCACACCCCTTGCCCAGCCCGCAGTGGCCTTCAGAGCCATCCACAAGGCCTCCACAACCCAGACTGCTGCCTCTCCTGTGCCTTGGACCTGGCCCTGGCTGCCGCCTCCTGCCCACATGGTCTTCCTCTTGGAAGACTTAACCTTTATTTATTTATTTATTTTGAGACTGAGTCTCGCTCTATCACCCAGGCTGGAGTGCAGTGGGGCAATCTCAGCTCACTGCCACCTCCACCTCCAGGGTTCAAGCGATTCTCCTGCCTCGGCCTCCCGAGTAGCTGGGGATACAGGTGCCTGCCACCACGCCTGGCTAATTTTTGTTTTAGTAGAGATGAGGTTTCACCACGTTGGTCAGGCTGGTCTCAAACGATCTGCCCGCCTTGGCCTCCCAAAGTGGATTATAGGCATAAGCCACTGCACCCAGCCTGCTTCAGCCTTTAAACAGGGCACCTGCAGCCAGGCAGAGCCTGCCAACAGGCCAGCCCATCCCCCAGCATGTGTGCCCACACCTCACAGCCTCCCAGGCCTTAGTGAGCAAGGCACATTTCCTTCAAAGGTGATGACAACGGGGGAGGACTGGGTGACAAGGGGTGAGAATGTGTCGTCACTCATTCAACAAATATGCACCGTGCACCTCCCGTGCCCAGGCCTGGGGCTGAGAGTGGATGAGGGACCTCACTTGCAGGTGGGAGGGAGGACGGTGCTAGGGAGGAGGGTCAAGGCCAGGCAGCACCGAGGGCCCCAGGCAGAGGTTCCAAGGGCCAGTGGAGGACCAGGTATGAACAGGCAGGAGGCGGGAAGGCCTTGCCTGCCGGAGTCAAAGGAACCATGCCCCGCTTCTGACCCTGGCAGTGGCCCCCTCCTCCTCTCAGCACCCCCTCAGGCGCCCTCACTCACCAGCAGCAGCCCAGCTCCGAGAGGGGCCCCTCTGGGCATGCTCCAGGGGCCAGCGCAGCTCCCCGCTCTCCACAGGATCCACTTCACTGGGCTCCACCACAATGGAGGGCAGCCGCTGGCCCAGCCGAGGGCCCTTCTCCTGGGAGGGTGAGCAGGATCACGGCCATGCCAGGCCTGGCACTCCTGCTGTCTCCCACCCCCGTCCTGCACACTGCCCCATTACAGGGGTCAGGGCGCCTTCCCACCCAGTCTCCAGGGCAGGGGTAGGCACATGTGTGTTTGCACAGGCACAGCCCTGAGATGAATCCCAGCCCCAGCCCAGTCCCAACCTGGGGGGTAGGGTGCTCAGCCCCTGCATTCACAGCTCTCAGAAGGCACCAAAGGACGCAGCTGTGCTCAGCCCCGGAGCCCACTGCATAGCCAGAGCCTGAGGCCAGAGACACCAAGGTCACCAGGAACCAGCCAGGCATCTGCACACCCCCAGCTGCCTCCTGCAACTGGACTCCTCCCAGCCCCTTCCTGGGGTCTTCCCTGCTGGGCCCGTGGCCTCCTCCAGGCTCACAGGAGCTGGGAAGCAGTTGCCATGGCAACCTGAGCGGCTGGCTCTGGGCTTGCTCTTGGCCCATTGTTGAGTGCCCACAGGAGTGTGTGGGGGCTGCGTCCCCAGGCCCTCCCGGTGCCCTCAGCATCTCCGCCTCCCATTCAGGGCCTTCAAGGCTGCAGTGCTACGTGCAGAACTCCATCCCTCAGTGCCCCAGTGGCCCTGACTTGCCTCCCTGTCCTGCCTCCATGCCTGTGCTCAGGCAGATGTCCCTGCCTGGAGCTCCCTGTCTCCCATCTCTTCACCTAGAAGGAAAGCTGCTGGGTCCACCTTCCCGAAAGAGCATGAGGGTCAGGAGGAAGGGCAGCCAGGCAGCAGGGAGGACTTGGCTGAATGGTATGAAGCAAGACCCCCGAACAGTGCATGGTCCTGGACTCCAGCCCAGCGTCTCTTTGAACCAAAGACCACAGTGACCCTCAAGTGTGAGAACAGATGTCACTGGGACATCTGTGGAATGAAGGCGCTGTCAGAGGACAGCAGAGCAGGGACCCCCAACCCTACCCCACAGGCTGGACCCTCCCAGGGGCCACCCCTCATGCTGGCATTGCCAGCCCAGGAGCTCATTCCCCATGTGCCATTCTCCTTCCTGCCTCACCAAGGGCGCTGGTCTCCAAGTCTGCCCACTGGTGTGAGCAGAATTTGCAGCTCCGAGTCCTGGTGCTCACCACTGTCCGCCTGCCTGGGGGGCTGTCTCTGCAACCCCAAGTCCCAGACTGGTCCCCGTGTGACTCCAGGCTGTTCCCCCTCTCTGGCCCCACTTCTCCCCCACAAGGAGAATGGCTGGGCTGTAGAACGAAGAGCACTGAGGCCACCACCCTGTGTAGGGAGCGTGTTATTTTAGCTTCATCAACACCCCCACGGAGGTGGCACTGGGGCAGGGAACCCTGGCATTTGCTCTTGGCAGAGAGCAATCCCTGGGATCCTCAGGTCAGCAAGAGTGCTAAGCCAGGAATGCTGGCCTTCAATTGTTTTATCCATTATACTTTTATAAAAGACCAATGAGCAGGGGCAGAGGCTCCTGCCTATAATCCCAGCACTTTGGGAGGCCAAGGTGGGTGGATCACCTGAGGTCAGGAGGTCGAGACCAGGCTGGCCAACACGGTGAAACCCCATCTCTACTAAAAATACAAAAATTAGCCAGGCATGATGGTGAGTGCCTGTAATCCCAGCTACTCAGGAGGCTGAGGCAGGAGAATAGCTCGAGCCCAGTCGGTGGAGGTTGCAGTGAGTTGAGATCATGCCATTACACTCCAGCCTGGGTGACAGAGCAAGACTCTGGGTCAAAAATAAATAAATAAGCAACAACTTCCCTCACCCAGATGTGTCAACTGAGGCCAGCAGCAAGGCAAGGCATGCCCCAAGTCATGGGACAGAGTTTGAGGCTGGCTCCCTCCCGACCCCCAGGACCCCAAGCACATACCTTCCGTGCCGGGCCTCCAGGCCCCTCGGCAGGGCCTGGCTGTGGTGCAGCAGGTCGGGGAATGCTCATGCTGCTGCTGCCACTGCGCCACTGAGCTGCACAAGGACTGGGAGCAGAAATGGGGTGTCTGCTGCTGGCCTGATGCTGGATCCACCCTCCCTGGAAGGCTTCAAGCACTGAGCCCACCCCACTCCAACCCACCCAGATCTAGTGCCCATGGCTCTAGCTGGACCTCTATGGGCTGCTCCCTGCAGGAGCCTGCTGCCAGAGGGGGCACTGGACCGTGGCCACACAATGTGCCTGCCAGAGGGCACGGGCAGGAGGGGAGATCTGGGAAGGCTTCCTGGAAGAAGTTGGCTGATCTGATGCCTGAGGGATGAGCAGAAGGTAGCCAGGCCTACTGGGAGGACAGAAGCACATTTTGAGACAGGGAACAGTGCAGGAAGGACATGGAGCATCCAAGGGGTCTAAAGAAGTTTCTGAGACAGGAGGCTGGGAGTGGTAGGGACTGGGTTCAAGTCAGCTAGAGACCCAGGTGCCCATTTCCTCCTTGGGAGCATGCACCCTGCATACCCCAGGCCAGGCCCTCAGCACCCACAGCCCAAGGGAAACTGACATCTTCCCTGCACTTGGCCGTGCCCACTCAAGCTGGCCACTGCAGAGGGAGCCCGCTGGAGCTCTGGCAGCAAGGACTCTGGAAAGAGAGCCACTGCCAGGAATCGGCACCAGCCCCAGACACTTCACCTGCACTCGAGTTGTGTGGGCTCCCTTGGGGCGACAACCAGGTCAGAGGCAGAAATGGGGGTGGGGTCTGGCGGTGGCTGGCATGCAGGCAGCAGGGGCCCCGGGCAGGGGACAGCCCTGCAGGAAGGGGACTGGGCAGTGGGAAAGCAGAGACCAGCAGAGTGGAAGGCCTGTTACGCCCTGCTGGGGTGGGCGAGCGTCGTCCTATGGCTGTCAGCAAAGCAGAGGGCTGCTATTCTGGGAAATGAGGTTTCTTTCACCAAACACCCTGCTCGGGTCAGCTGGGGTCCTACTGAGGCCCAGTGAAGGCTAGGGGGGCACACATGCAGGAGGCCTCTCGGGGCAGCAGGCAGCAAACCCACACCCTCTGGCTCCTCCACCCAACCCCAGAGCCCCGGGATGCCTCAGTGCCCTGCTGCTCCCAGATCTGGCCCTCCATCGAGCTTCTTCTCCTGGATCCTATCCCAAGACCCAGAACCCGTGTTAGAGTCCAGGGCAGCCAGGACAGAGACCCAGCCAGCCTTGGGAAGGAGGCAGAGGGAGAGGCAGGAAAACACTGCCACAGAGACCAGGCAAGAGGTGACTGAGCTGGAGACAGAGCAGAAGACAGAGAGAGAAACAGACCCACAGATGACACCTGGCCCAGAGAGAGGGTCGACAGAGGCAGATGATAGAGCTGTCACCCTGAGCCACGGGGGCGGGGCAGGCAGTCAGGGAGCAAGTGCCCAAGGGCTGCTTTGCCCTGCCCAGCGCCAGGGCACCGCACATCAAGGGCACCCACCACCCCCAGCGCCCAGGATCCCAGGTCTTGCAGGGCACAGCCCCAGGGGCACAAGCCCGTGGAAGCATGACATCCCACAGCCGGGCTGACCCCGCCAACCCACGCCCTCCCCTTCCCCAGGGAGCTCGACTCAAAACTCCCCAAATCCCCCCATGCTCCTACCCCTCCCACCCATCCCGCACCTGGTCGTCAGGGGGCGCTCGCGCTGGGGGCCCGCACGGCTGGGGCGAGGCTGGGGAGGGGGTGACCCTGCCCCACACTCACTCACACTCACCGCCCGCGCGGCTGCTGGCGCCGGGACCTCCGCGCTCCGCTGGCCCCGCGCTCGCCCGGCTCACCCTCCTCCCCGCGCTCCCCGCCCACACTCGCTCTCTCGGCCCCCCTCTAACTCACGCCCTCCGCGGGGCCGCCACCGCCCTTGCTCCGCCCTCCCAGCGCCAGCCCCCAGGTAGAGCCCCGGCCTCCTCTTCCCTTGGGCCGACCTGCCCCTAGCCACTTGAGACTGATCCTGGAATCTGGGGTGCGGAATTTACTGGGGCCAGACACAGAAAGAGGACTCCTTCCTACTGGGGACTAGAGAGGAATAAAATGGACAAAAAAGTCCCCAAACTGGGATGGGCCGCAGGAAGGGGGGGTCACCCCGCAACCCTCCTCTCATCTTCACTTCCAGTTCCATTCCCAAAAAGGAGCAAAAGAGCCCTGGAACAAGCTGTGTCACCCAGTCCAGTGGCAGACCTGACACCTGAGACCAAGGTGCACAATCTACGGTCCGTGTAATTCCCAGCTTGCAACCAGGAACCCTCCACCATGGCTAATCTATCATCCCACTTCTGCTCCATGACTACAGTCCAGCCACTGTCCAGCCACCATTCACAGCTGTTCATCTGTCTTTGCCATCTCACCACCATCTGTGACTCACCATCGGCATCCACCATCTACCATCAGTAACCTAACATCCATCTCATCCACAATCCACCATCTACCATCAATAATTACCCAACATCCATCCCGTCCACAATCCACCATCTACCATCAATAATTACCCAACATCCATCCCATCCACAATCCACCATCTACTATCAATAACCCAACATCCATCCCATCCACAATCCACCATCTACCATCAATAACCCAACATCCATCCCGCCCACAATCCACCATCTACCATCAATAACCCAACATCCAAAACTGGATCCAAGATGGCCGACCACTAACAGCTCAGGATTGTAGCTCCCAGTGAAAGCTCAGAGAACGAGACGACGCCACATCATTAGACGAATTTTCGTCACTCACCGATTAGCCGATTCCCAGTGGAGGAGCCCCACGGGTCGCCAGCGCGACTCTTGTGGCCGCCGCAGCGGTTTTGCCGGCGTCTCGGCGCAGCAGCTCTTCATGCAGAGCCAACGGGACTGCTTCCCCTACTGACCGGAGTTTGGAGCTCCAGGAAGTCAGAGCCGCTTGTTGCGGACTCAAGAGGGAAGCCAGACCAGAGATTCCCGGACAGAAGAGCACCATCAGTCTTATCGCTGCTATTTAGGCTGCCACAGTGGGTTGCTCGGATCCCAGCACTGGGAATCAATAAGTCGGACGTCGACTCAGAAAACTAATTAGAAAGGCGGTTCATTTACAATGAAGGGAAAAAAACAGCCTAAGAAGGCCGAGTATACTCAAAATCAGAACCCATCAGCAACGGAACAAGCCCTGACAGAAAAGGACTCATCAGCAACCGAACAAGCCCTGATGGAAGAGGACTCATCAGTAACGGAACAAGCCCTGATGGAAAAGGACTGTGTTCCATTATCTGAAGTAGGCTTTAAAAGGTGGATGATAAGAAACTTCTGGGAGTTAAAGGAACTTGTTCTAACCCAATGTAAAGAAACTAAGAACTTGGAAAAAAGGTTCGATGAAATGTTGAAAAGAATAGACAGTATAGAGAGGAATACAAATGAACTTATGGAGTTGAAAAATACAACACGAGAACTCAGTGAAATATGTACAAGCTTAAACAGCCGAATGGATCAAGCAGAAGAAAGGGTATCAGAGGTAGAAGACCAACTTAATGAAACCAAACGACAAGACAAGAATAGAGAAAAAAGGATAAAAAGGAATGAGCAAAGTCTCCAAGCAATATGGGACTATGTGAAAAGACCTAATATACGCTTGATTGGTGTACCTGAATGTGACGGAGAGAATGAAGTCAAGCTGGAAAATACTCTCCAGGACATTATCCAGGAAAATTTTCCTAATTTAGCAAAGCAGGACACTATTCGACCCCAGGCAATACAGAGAACACCACAAAGATATTCCTCAAGAAGACCAACCCCAAGGCACATAATCATTAGATTCACCAAGATCGAAACGAAGGAGAAAATATTAAGGGCAGCCAGAGAGAAAGATCAAGTCACCCATAAAGGTAAGCCTATTAGGCTTACAGCAGATCTCTCAACGGAAACCCTACAAGCTAGAAGAGAGTGGGGGCCAATATTCAACATACTTAATCAACAGAACTTTCAGCCCAGAATTTCATAAACACATAAAATATGCATTAACCACTTTAAACACTCAAAATATTGATCGGCCATTATTGAAACCCATTTTAGGAATGAAGTAATATTCCTTTTTCCCTCTTTTTCTTTTTTTCCCCTTCTTTTTCTCTTCTTCCCAAAAAAAAAATAACCCAACATCCGTCCCGCCTGCAATCCACCATCTGCCATCAATCACCCAACATCCATCCCATCCACAATCCACCATCTACCATCAATAGCCCAACATCCATCCCATCCACAATCCACCATCTACCATCAATAGCCCAACATCCATCCCATCCACAATCCACCATCTACTATCAATAACCCAATATCCATCCCGCCCACAATCCACCATGTACCTTCCCCCATGCAAACACCAGTCATCCATTCACCATCCACCATTCAACCACTGTCCAGAATTCAATGTCCATTAACCATCCATCCCCAGTCACCATCCCCTATCCAACCACCACCCATCCACCATGCACTCATCCATTCACCAAGCACCCATCATTTACCAAGCATCAATGCATCACTAAATATCCATCAGTCCAACATTCATTCAACATTCATCCATCTACCACCTATCCATCCACCACTTACTATGAAACAGCTTTCCATCAAACATTTAACACATCTATCTACCATTCACATCTCCAACCACGTGTCTAATTGTGAATCATCAACCTACTATTTACTATTCATTTATCCCAATTTATCCATTAGCCTCCATCCAATTTACTACAATTCAGCCATCTACAATTCAACCACCAGCTGCTCACCATTTGCCATTCATGCATTCACATTTCTATGAACTGCATTCCTCCATTCATCCACCAACCATGTATCAATATCATCTCTTTTTGTTTGGTTTTTGTTTTTGGTTTTGTTTTGAGATTGAGTCTCACTCAGTCACCCAGGCTGGAGTGCAATGGTGCGATCTCGGCTCACTGCAACTTCCGCCTCTAGGTTCAAGCAATCTTTCTACCTCAGCCTCCCAAGTAACTGAGATTATAGGTGCCCATCACCACACCTAGCTAACTTTTGTATTTTTAGTAGAGATGGAGTTTCACCATGTTGGTCAGCCTAGTCTTGAACTCCTGACCTCAGGTGATCCACCTGCCTTGGCATCCCAAAGTGCTGGGATTACAGGCGTGAGACAGCGCACCCAGCCTACCATCACCACCTCTTATCCACACCTACCACCTATCTACTCATTCATTGTTCATCTCACAACATCCTCTATCTATCCACCCGTCATCCAGCCATAATTCACTATTCATCCAAAATCCATCCAAGTACCATCTAGCATCCATTCACAGAAAAATTTATTGACCACCTTCTGTGTGCCAACCATTGTTCTAGGAGCTGAGGACAGAGTAGAGAGACAGCAGTGAGCATTTATTTACCATCATCCATCCACCACTACAATCCACCCACCGTCCATCCACTCACTGTTCATGCACCACCCACATTCATTATGCACTCTCCATTCAACACCCATCTTCATTCAGCGTCCATTCACTATCCACTTGCTATCTATCCATCTTCCTCCATCTGTATGTTAAACCATCCATTTACCATCTCTCCGTCTACACACCCACCATTCACCTTTCAGGTGTCAGTTTTCCAAGTTGTAGCCACCTACTGTTAACCTTCATCCATCCATTCAACACCCATTCGTCATTCATCCACCCAGATTCCATCCAGCTGTTATCCATCCACAGCCACCCTCCATCAATACCTCCACAGTACACAGCCCGTTATTCATCCAGCCAGCAGTCATTCGTTTATCTGGCATCCAGACCCCATTCACGCACCAGACAGCCACCATTTACTTGTCCACCACTTGTGATCCATTCATCAGTCATATACTCATTGGCATTTCTATGCCATCTGCCCATCCATTCTTTGTGGGTAGATCCGTCACAATCATCCACTTCTATTTATCCACCATCTAGCCATACTTCCATGACTTATTACCCACTAAGCATCCACCGTCTTCTATGAATACTTACTGTCTGCAGTTGATGTCCACTGTGTATGGATTCATTTGGTATCCATCAACCCATCAATTCAGCATCCACATCCATCCGTTTTCCATCTATCAATCTACGATGTATTTGTCTATTCCTCACCACTTAATCAACCACCAACTGCATAGATGCATCTACCATCTATGTAGTTGGTGGTTGATTAAGTGATCTACCCACCACATACTCATTCTACCATGACGTCCATCATTCATCCACTATCACTTACCCCGCCAGCTTTTCTCCCCCACCAGTGAGCCAGCCACCTAGTAATTCACCCACCCACATGCTCATCTGCTCTCCCTAAGTTATATTCTATGTTACTCATACACATAAACCTCAGTGCACCATTCTCACTTCCATCTCACCACCACCCATACCCATCATTCATCCATCCAGCTTCTCACCATTCTTTTGCCCATTCATTCATAAACAAAACATTCATGTAGTAATAAATATTAATTTAAAGCATTTTGTACTCCATGCCGATGCTGGATTCTGGGATCATCGAGAGAAATAAGATGCAATCCGAATCCATGATCCAATGGTCCAACAGGGAGAAACAGGTCAGGCAGAGAAGTTCCCATGCCTCCATCTCCTGGATGTGGCATGGACGGAGCTCTTTGCAGAAGTTCTCCAAGAGGAGGATGGGCAAGGGGGCATCACAGCGGTGTGAGCAGAGGCCTGACCTGGGTACTGTGGTTGCAGCTCAGCAGACCTGATGATGTGGGCGTAGAGGGAGGTGGTAGCAGAGTTTTTGCAAAGCTAGGAATGCCCAGCTGA